TGATGAAAATCAAAAAAAAAAAACAAGCATGTTTCGGGGGCAGATATTAATGAGAGTGTAACATTTGTTGCAGATCCAAATAAAAATTTGATGTATTGAATTTAAATGTGGTTTCATTAGAAGACATCGGTATGTGCTCTACTGAGTGCCATTCTAGTTCAAAATGAGAATTTCCTTTTAACACTGCTCTTACAGCACACTAAGTAATGTCAGTAAAACTTTTCAAAATCAACAAAACATCAGATTGTACCGACGTTTCATGAGTAGCCTTACATAAACTTCTTTGACTCTCTCAAACAACTTCAGCTGGACAGTTGAATTATTAATTTGTTCTCTTCATCAACAGGGAGCGACATTACATTTACAACCTCTTCACCTCTATCAATGTCAAAGTGCTTAAAATAACTTATGAGATGTTATAAATATATACTGACAGAGAATATTGTAGAGCCATACCTCTCAGTATAGCATTAATACATGTATGCAGGTCTGAGGGATTAAAGCAGTGGAGTAGGAGGAGGAGGCCTCACCTTGACGACCGTCACCAGGCCCTCGTTAGTGGTTGGATCAGTGGGCACAGAGAACCTGCCAGTGGGGTCGCCCCCGGTGATTTTGTAGACAGCATTCCAGGCCTGTGTGTTGGGCTGGTCCTTGTCAGTCACCGTCAGGTTGGCCACAATGACATTCACACGGTTTTCAGGCACCTCGCCGAAAAACTGCATGAATAAACCATGAACGTGCAGAACAGTGAGCTGTTAGTGATACTGCTGTGGCAGCAGAACGCACACCAGGCCCTTGCCTTACACAGCACAGCGGGACCATTCTTGAGTAAATAGACATCTAAGGTAACTTATCATGTCGTCATGGTCATCTCATCCCCTGTCCTCCCCTGATAGCACCAACAGGAGCATTACAAATTTCAGTGATTCGCAAACACAGTAAGTGCCCCTTTCACTCGGGCAGACGTCCACATAGTTGCATGTGTCAACATTTGTAGGGGAATACACTTTGCACATGGCTGTCTACTTGTATATCTGTATGGATTTCAAAATGCTGGGCAAGCAGAACTAGGTTAAGTGAGCAGAACTGATGGTTGAGTGCATATATCCACATTAGGTTGAAATGGAGGGATACTTGTGGTATTTTCCTTTCGCTAACATTACTGTGTTGTCTTACATATCAATTTCTTTCTTACCGTCTCAGCAGTAAACTCTGGTGGGTTGTCGTTAATGTCAGTGACTCTGATGACAGCCGTGGCTGTGTTGGAGAGGCCGTACATGGGGTTGCCCTCCATGTCAGTGGCCTGGATGATGAGTGTGTACTGGGGCACTTTCTGGAGGGGAAGGGAAGAGAAACAACAGGATTAAAACACAGTTTCTCTGTATAGGACCGGTGCAGCCATTTTTAAAGTTTACTGTGATGTTATTTTGAAAACCTTTGCTAATGAAAATGAGGACGGACAAATTATTAGAGACACCAATAATTATAATTCCGTTTTTTACAAACCTTCCACATACTACAAATGACCACAGGGTTAAATAAACACCTCTCTGAGTCAGTGTCAACATTATAAGCTCCACGAAGATTTATGTCTGGAATTACAGCACACTTTAGTCTCCCTGATAAACTGGTAACCCAGTGTGCATTATTATTTATGTTTTCAACTAAAAGGAAACAAATCTGACCTGGATAGGTTATTAATTATAATGACTGATGATGGCCTTTTATATAAATCTGATTTATTCCCTTTGGGGACGTTTGTGGGTGGATGTGTGAAACGCACACCTCTGCCACATACACACAAACATGAAGCTAACAAATGACTCTTTTCACATTAAAAGCCACTCAGGTGACGGACCAGTTGCTAGGTAATGAGAGCCGGGCAAATTACTTTCATGGTGGCAACTGGCAGACATAAAACTGCGCCCCCAGGGTGGAAGTGATTGAACAGCCACCTCGCCAGATTGCCCTCCCTAGGATTGCACCAACTGGCTCCAGCTTTCTATATTATTTTATTTATTTTCCCAAATAGCCGTACGATCCAATTAAATGAAAGAGAGGTCGCTTTTGCAGCACGGGGGAAGAGGCAAGAAAGAAAATGCGAGTAAAGCTTCTGCTTTAGAGGAAAAAAAAAAGGCTAGAATGAGGGAAGGGAAACATTTAGCTGCTCAGTGATGCACGCTGCCTCCTTGTAAGAGTAAATAAGTGTGAAAGAGCCAAGTCCATTTCTACTTCTCATTTAGTTGCTAATCTGCAAAATTCACTTTCACTTTGGCTCATTAGTTCTCAGACAGTCTGAATATTAGCAAAGATACTCAAGCTGTGTTTTGTCGTCATATAAAAAATGCACAGTGCATTTATGTAAATATGGAAAATGGATGTGCTGATCTACAACAGGCAGCAAATGCAAGACAGAAAAATTAATTGATACAATGGATGGCCTCGCTAAAGAAGGTTTCACTTCTTTTAATAATAAGTCTGCATTCATAAACACTAATAAAGAGTGGAGTGGTAACAACAACAGAGCATATGACATGAAGAGAAAGAAAGCTGACGTAAAGGAATGTAAAGAGAAAGAGAGAAAGAATTAGGGACAATAACAACCAGAAAGGTTAGAAAGAAACGGTGTGAGTCACCTCTCTGTCCAGGCCTGCCGCCACCGTAATGATGCCTCCTGTTTTGTTGTTGATGGTGAACATATTGGAGGTCGGACTCTCTGGATTCTGAGACAGGATCTTGTAGCGTAGCATCCCATTAGCGGTTTTGGGGTCGTCTTTGTCGACAGATGTTACTGTCATAACAAATGTTCCTGTGGGATAGAAAGACAGAGAAAACATGTAAATACAATGTTGCTTCCAATTATTACATTTTTTTTGTATGTATGTAGAAGTTATTTTGTAATTTAGACGTCAGATTGTTCTTGTGATCTTTTAAAACGCCTAGATTTTATACAGCAGAAGCAAAGTTAACAAAATGGCCACCCTAGGAGTGCCATCAATGCTGTTTGATCTGCTAATGCTGTGTCAACACGTGAAGGTGGAGGCTCAGACTGCAGCCAATCGTTTGCTCTTACTGTGCGGTGCCGTGCTCGGCTTTTGTGGTATACATTACCTGGCTTGGAACCCTCTGGAACACTGCCGTTCCAGATCTGATGGGTGAACTCGGGTCTGTTGTCGTTCATGTCGATCACATTGATCACAATGTCGATAGGGTTTTCTACCTGGTTGCCATTCAGGTCCACTGCATGAGCTCTCAGCTGGAGGAAAACACAAACACATCTGGAGTGTTAACTGTGCAAACAAATATACTGGGAGAAACCACTCACTGAACATCGCCCATTTAAATTCTGTGATAGTTAACCCCACAGAACATCATTAAAATATGTGCTGAATGTGGAAAGGAGCATGGGTTCAGAATACTCTTTATTCAAACCAGCTTGACCAAAAGAGTAATCTATTTTTAAAAAAAGTAAGATTTTCCTACATCTGACTCTTGCATGTGAAGCAGAAAAGACAAACAGTGATTAGATTCAGTCTGATACCTGACAGAGTCGACAACAACACAAACATTTTTGCTGCATTTTTATGTTTGTCTCTTGAAACAGATACACTCTGATTTTATTCACCACTGTTGCCTAACATGAGGTCAGCAATGATTCAGCTCTGTTTTACAAAAACAACTCTGATGTGCCGGATCTTTTTGCACTTCAAGGGTGTTTTTTTTCCTGCATAAGTGCAAGTTGAGGACTCATGCTCTGGAATAAATATAAGTAATATATTGAAAATCTACGGTATAAATCACATGCCAGTGCATGTTTAGCTTACGGTCTAGTTCCGGTGTATCAATGAATCTAGCGTCGCAGTGTCAAGTGCATGCTGCAAAATCTATTGAAGAAATTACAGGAAATAGACGGATGTTGGCGAACTTACATATCAGCGACATACTCGAGTAACATAATACTGAGCTGCGTCTGTACTTCTCTCCAGTTTACAGTTCACATCTGCCTTTATCTATGGAGCTTCTTTGTCTCGTGGCCTTCAAAGATCACTTAAGTAGTGTCTATTAAATAAATACATTGTATTATTTTATCTTAGCTACAACTGTGACATTTACCAGTTTATATTTATAATTAAAGCACAGGAATATATGGCTTTAAAATCCATGGAAGTGTAATGACAGTACCTCTAATGAATAAAGCAGCTCTAGAATCTCTAACTGAATTTCTCTTAATGTATCTAACACACACACACCCGCAAACACACATTCACACAAAAACATCATGTTAAATCCTTTAAATTCTCAGACGGATCAGTCAGATTTCCTGGGAGACCCTGGTCTTTATTGAATCTAAGAAGGCCATTTAAGCTACACATGACCCTTGAGCACATGCCAACTGGCAGGAATGTAAAACCCTGCCACAGAACACACATTTCTTTCAATAAACTAGGCAGGAAAAGATGCATATAGATGTATCATTACATGGAATATTTTAAAATTTAAAAGAAATTGTGTGTGACTAACGTGGAAATTGGAGATGTGTTCTCGATCCAGGGGCTTGTTGACTGACAGCTCTCCAGAGATGGGGTCGATGATGAAGATGCCGGTTGGGGGCTGGTCGGCTCCGGGGCCTGTCACACTGTATCTGAGGGAGCGGTTTTTGTCATGGTCCGACCGAATCTGTTTGAGATGAAGTTTTGTTAGTTAACACAGTCAGCAAATAAATCCTTAAAATAATGATTCATTTAATTACTGACATAAAAATATACAATAAGCTCATAAGTGTATCACAGTTACATCTTTATTTTCTAATTATCAATTGATAATTGTTTTACTGTTTGAATTTCTTTTAATGATATAGATTGCTCTTTCTGATCATCAGTCAAAACCAATTATTTCAAACTTCTAATAATAATAAAGAAAAGCAAAAATGAAAATCTATCAATTAAATTATTTATTATAAATAAGCTGATAACTTCCCATAGATAGACTCATTTATCAGCTCATCATTTCAGCACTGGTTTAAAAGTAAGTAAAAGAGTGCATATTAAGAGTGTGTCTGTGTGAGTATTGAAGTTCTGTCTCTGCCGAGCTGTCTATCCTGTTTGCCATGTAAGCAGAGACCTTCTGCGCATACAGCCCAGATCCATGCTGAGCAAACAAAGAATTTCGTCATCCTGATAACATCCACCAAAGCCCAGGAACATCCCTTCTAATATGGCCGGATTTAATATAAAAACAGCATGTACAGGGAGTAGCACTCAATAAGGAAGTCAACTTAATTTGCTGAGAAGGGATGTACTTCTTCTTAGCCGTCCTTCATATTGCGTTTCCTGTCAGCCACCCACACATGGGCCTGACCAGAGAGTTGTTGTAAATGAACTGGGCCGTGTGCGTCCTTGAGCTAGGATAAAAGGTATACAATATCTGAACAGGCAACCAAGGAGTAGCTGCACTGGTGAGCACTTCAGATTTCTCTGTGCTTCTAAATAATATGTTACAGACTGGCCCCTGAAACAAGAGATAAATAATACAGTGTGAGAAAAGAGGCCCGACCTTTAGCAAAGTGCTGTAAATATGAAGCATATTGTTGAAGGCACAAGTCTCGTGTCTGTGACCCTGTGAGTGGGAACTCAGGGCAGCAGGGACCTACAACGTTGTCATACCCACCAAAAAGTGTTTTCTTTAAGAGCTGTGTGTGTGTGTGTGCGCTTGGACGAGCTACGTTACCCGGACAAGCTCTTGCGGAAAAGGCCCTCGTGAGTTCTCTGGGACATTGATTGGGGGGATGACCCAGTCTCTCTTCATGCGTTTGAGTTGGCTGTCCGTGTTTCGTGATGGAAATACTATTTCCTTCGGATCCTTGGACATGACTGGAGGGACAGCAACTTCCTGGACCTGTGAAAGGGAAATGATTTAGTTTGAGAGTTGGGCAGTGATCACATCTACACAGTAAAATACGAGTACGTGTATTTTTAGCCACGCTGGCGGCTCGGCTCTGTGGATGGCAAGGTTGGTCTGTCCACCACCCAAGTAGAAACTTTTAACAACTTTTGGATCGATCGTCGTTATGTTCAGTGGCAGGTAGTAAATTGTAGCATGTTGATGTGCCAGGGGCGGGTCCAGGGGGTACTGCTCCCTGCTGAAATCTGATTGGGCCCTGAGGTGCACAATGTGTTTGAGCAGGGAACAAATTTCTAAATATCTTTAATGATGTGTGGCTTTGCTCATAGCTACAGGGCTAACCATAAACAAGGCATGACTTAAATATGCACTTTACTGAATAAGGAATTGTGCATGGATGTTGGACATATTGTCCCCTCTGTGTACATTTGGGCCCCTTTATGGCCCCTGATTTAGAAAACTCCTAGATCTGCCACTGTGAAGTGCAACACTAAGATGCTAAACATCAGTGTGTTAGCATTGCCACTATGAGTGTTTGCATTTTGCTCAAATCCCCATTAAGTACATCCTCACAGAGCTGCTTGACTGTAGAGTCTCGCTATTGTGTTTGTGTGGTGGGAATAACAGGCTTTAATCCTGATCATGCAATCACAACAATCAACAGTAGCACATGTCAGTCCACTTCCTGCAGTGGCTATAGGCCTTCTCAGAATGCATGTGGTTGTAAAAGGATACATGCCTCCTTTCGTTTTGCAAAACTTTCAAATCCACCTTCCATGTGAGCAAGTTCAATCAAAAGACTGCAGCCTTTCTGAGATGCTCTGTGGCTTAAAAATATCAAAAGTAAAATACGTAAGGATATGCCTTGTAACACTTTGGTGTGGCCACCGCAGCAGCCGCACGGCACTGGCACTGGTTTTATTTTAAATGTCAGGCCTCTTCTTATGTGCTGATATAATGCACCCACACAGACAGCCCAGCTTACATAATGGATCTGCCATCCTCCCTCGGCTGTAATGAATGAGATTTGAAACAAAGGAGGATGGTACCTGCAAGCCAGACACTAAACACACAGATGGCTCAAATTGCCTATGCTGCTCCAGAGACTGGGAAGACTGAAATGGTGCCAGAGAAAGTTTAAATAACCTTGAACAAAACAAGGAAGGAAAGAAAACACAACAATATGTAAAATATGGCAATTCCGCAGACTGGTCGCTGGGATTAATATTTAACTGTCACATCTCTTGATGCATCTTCCTTACTGTTGCCTGTAATTATCTGGATGTTGATTGGTTCAGAGGTAGTCAAGGCTGACAAACCATTACAAACTGCCCTATGCAAACACAGAAATTAATTACCACTTCGCTACCTTATATCCTGACCCATATCCCAAATTCCCGCTCCTCTAACATCTGGGGAGCTGTCGGAGAGCTTCCACTAATCATGTTTGAAATCCGATTATGCTGCTTTCACACATTGGAAATGCAGAGAGGCAAGTGGACAGATAGCACAGGGGCATGCTTCAGAAATATCTATTACCCTATTAAAATGGGCGCGAGTGAGAGCAGTAATTATTTGCAACCTGCATCTGGAATGATGAATGGCACGGTGGGTTTGTTCAGCCCCAACACACATCTATCTCCGGTGCACTGGAGGTCTGCGCCCATCCACGCTCGCATAGCACCCTCCATCTTCTGACTGGGAGTCTACTTCAGAGTCCAGGAGAGTGTTAGGCTGAGTGATGGCCCGAGTGTTTGTGAGTGTGTGGAAAGTATATGTGTGTGTGTGTGTTTGCCTTTTTATAAAAATTCACTCTTTCAGATTCAGAGAACCTTTTTTCGCTCATGGACTTTAGTGGAGCCGAGGTTCTAATAGAGGTGGAACTAGAAGCTGAGGACACTGTCATGTTAATGAGGATATTGTTTGGGTGTCATTGATTAAAATGTTTCCCCAAGGCTGCAGCATTCATGGCACTAATAAAAAAAAAATTAATCGCTGATGTGATTAAGAGATGCATGGTGATTCACGACAATAATTGTACTGGGGGGAAGATAACCAATCATGACCTCATAAATGTGCTGGATACAGGAAAGTCAATCTCTGATTTCATTACATAGCAATCAGGGTAAATACAACACCTCTCCACTGACACAGATCAGAGCTATTGATGATACAGTTGATCATTTGAATACAGTTGTATGATCAATGTTTACCACTGGTAATGTTTGGGGAAGGAATGTATTTGCATTTGACCAACCAGCACCAGTGACTAATGGTACCATTAAACTCACATACCTGCAGTAGTCCCTGTAGTAAATGACTGTCACCTGGCTTTTTGAAAAGCTGTGAAATCATAACCTGCTACAGGTTTAATTTCGGCCCAGCAGATCACTGCACCTGCAGCACTGACAGTAAACGCACATAGCTGTCAGTATTAACTTTTAATCTGCACCCACATAAAATATGATGTCTGTCTTCCCTGAGATTATCTACTGCACCACACACACAAATGGCCACTTGTGACCATTCCTCTTACTGTGTTATGGGGATTAAGAGGAAAAGCACATTGGTCTTTGTAAAACAAACATGATTACTGCATTTGGGGGTGTTCATTAAGACACCAGACGGCTAATGATTTAAGATCTCGAAGCAATGATTATTAACACATGCACACGAAGGGCTCACTTATGGCTCTACAGAATGAGTCGGCACACTGAGCCTAGCATGTGTGCAGTGCCACGTTGCAGCATCCTGTAAGTTTAAAGCAACAGATATTATCTAATTGAACAGTAGCACATAAGCTGCTGGCACTGAGGTTAAAACCTCTGCAATAACTCAGCCTTCAGAGCTTCTTTTCATTTCCTGTCTACAAGGCAGACGGCTAAAACATGTCTAGAGCTGTTTTTTTGGTGTGATCCTTGGCCAACCACAATGTTGACATATGAGCACATGGTCACTCTAACTAATTGCAGATGAATGCAAAACACGTCCACTGGAACGGTTAGAGCGGCACTCGACAGCACAGACAGATGCTTCCTGTCAAAGCGGTGAAAGACGTGCGTCCCCTTCTGGATGACAAGGCAGTAACCCCCACAATCACGAGGCACGCTTGCGGAAATCTACTTTATGGGGAGCTATTTTGCATCTGCTCTTGCTACCCACTGACCGTGTTGAGTATATGTTTGTGCTCCTTGTAAATTGACACATTAAGTTTTAATTAGCAAGCATCCATCCAGTCTCTCGGAACACCTGCTACAATTTAGGGAACTAGTCATCTGTGAATGTGCGGTGTGCCTAATAACCGTAAGTTATTTGAGACGAGGGCAGAATTGATCGTTCCACCTTTCTACATCAGTCACACAATCAACAAAACAAATCAGAAATGTTGTAAATATGGTTGAGAAGAAGTCACCTGCTGGCTGGATTCAGCGGAGGGTGTCAGTCTGGCTTGGGTCACCCATTGCTCCTGCGTGGCGGAGTTGCTGGCCTTGATCAGCAGTGGTGATGCAGGGAGCGTAGAGTGCTGAAGACTCCTGGCAGCATAAACGACTCCGTCAGCCTCTATCCGGAAGTCGGAGGGGTTACTGCATTCAAAGCGCACCAGACCACTTCGGCCACAGTCAAGAAACCTCACTGCAAGAGACAGAGACAAATGGGTTGAACTTAAAAATCCCCCTAACAGTGAGAGTAAAAACTAGAGTTAAAAAAAAACTAGATACAGAGACAAAGGGGTGGAAGACAGACAGCCAGCCAGTCAGACAGAAGGTCCACAAAGGTTTTCTGATTCTCCCTCTCACTCATGCATTATTCACTTCAAGCTGTGCCCCAAAGGTACTGCTCAAAACAGGTGCAGTGGAGGAGAGAGACGGAGCAGGGAAAACTAAAGAAAAAAAGGAAAATGTTCCCCTTAAGGGCTATTAAGAAGAATCCAAAAACAATACATTTAAAACCTGATGTGTACATTAGACTGTCTAAATGCCTCGCTGTGGTTTTGGTTTGAGAAAATATATTCAGTGTGTATGAAAATGTTCAATTCCGCTCGGCAAGTCTCATTTTATTTCCAGAACAGGCCGCCGCATGCTAGCTTTGTCCCCAATGATGCACAGGGATGCCTACCACGGATGACTGCCGATCCTCGAGAGACAGAAGTCGGTGCATGAGATGTTCATTTCATCAGCTTGTTCACACAGAAAACACACAGAAACTCGCAGCACACATACAGATACTGTAGACAGGTGGCTCATGGGGGCTCAGGTCCCACAGGTGCTTCAGTGGCAGTGGTACAACACAGCTTCATGTTACAAGTGAGTGACAGTGCAGCGCAACCTACATAGCACCTACATGTACACATATACACACACACATACTAAGAGCTTTATTGTGTGATCCTTTTGTGTGGATAGATGTGTTTCCCTGGCAGGCCCACCTCATGTTTATAGCACACAAAACGGCATGAAGGGAAAGATAAAAATACCTCCAGGCCACAGAGATCACAACGTTACCATATATTGTTTGTGTGGGGGCTCTGCTGGTGCCTCTTTGAATTATTAAAGCAGATGTGGAATTACTTAACAAAAGCCTTGAAGGAGGGTGCCTAATCTTCTTTTGTGCTGCTACCTTGGGGACTCACTGATGTCTTCAGAGTATCATCTGCACTCTGAGTGCATCAAGTTCCTCTGGGCTTGGGGAGAGGATGCAGCAGACCAGCTTCGGGCCTGAAGGAAGTCATACATTTACTCCCAGGCCTATTTAAAATTATCACCCACACACTTGCAGTAAATTCTGCCAAAGTGCACCACACCCTGCCACTAATAAATCTCTCAGTGATGACAGGGGGTGAATTTAACCATTTTCTTTGCCGCTTGTTACTGCGGACAGGGCCAATGTTTTCAGACCGTCCGTTCCACCAGCACTGACAAAAACGTACCTGTACTTTATGTGGCTGACTAAAGGGACAATAGCTGAACTCCAGGCGATAGCAAGACATTGAAGGCAAAACTCCCCCTTAAAAAAACTATTTAAAAGTGACTGTGGAAAAAAATGGAGTGGAAAATACAACAAAATCCATTCTATACAAACTAACATGTTTTTGAATATGAGTAAGAGAAAAAGAAAGCAGGGAAGCTGTGAATCAAAAGTCTGGTTGTAGGGAAAGTTAGGAAATCGACATGAAGTGTATTCTCAGTGTATTCATCCTGACGAATGAAAACACATTCTTACTTCACTTTATCAAAACCTAAACACAGAGAACAAATCTGCTGCAAGGATCATGAGCTGCATTCCATCACAGATTTTAACACTGAAAAAACAAGAAAGCAGCTCTGCACACTGGACTTTTTCTTATCCTGAAGAGTTGCCATTTATCTAAATATTGCTCAAAGGCACACAAGGTGAAATAGCAGTGCAGCCGAGGCAGCACTTCCAATAATGAAGACAGAAGATGACACGATCTTTCTTCTATACCAGAATACACTTGATACCTTCCCGGGTGCTCTGGTTCAATTATTGGTGACCAATTAGCCTTTTTTCCCCCTCTTTGAACTTGGAAACGCTGACACCAGGTAGATGACCTTCTCTCTCTGAAGGGTTTGCCTTAAAGTCAGCCACCTGTAAAGTCAAAGCCTTCAAGCAATCAACCCAGCCAGCCCAAGTCAGCAGATAGTCAGACAGAGGTAGAATACAGAGTGAGGGGGACTGTCAAAATAACTCACACTTCAGCACAAGAAAAGTCCATGGATTTAAGAAGCTTCACAATGTTGCTGCTGGAGAAAGTCTCACTCACTATTCTAACTGAGGGGCTTGGATTAGGAATAGTACATTAGACACATTCTTTATTATTTATTCAGTGAATATAAAAACATACATTCATTATATATACAGATTACCAAATATTTAAAGGTTCCAACTAATTTAGATAACCAGCAATGGTTAAGTTCAATATACAGTTATTCACATTTTCCTTTAGCCAAACGTGATGTCTTCAAATTGTAAGAATTAATTACTCCATGAATATGTAATTTACATTAATTATTATCATTAATAAGTATTTATAACAATACTTTAAATTGAGAAATCTATTAATTGTTTAAACGCCTCTCATATTAACTAAATATACATCCAGTTTGGCTCAAGGAAACTGTGAGTAATTATTTATATTTATATATATTTATTATCTAAATTAGTTCTAGTAGAGAAACATGTTTCCGGCATGTATGAGTCTGGTTAGGCCTATTAAAATGAACTGTCCAATGGGCAATTGTGAATATTTTGTCAATAATTACCAACTAGAAACAGTAACTATCGCACATATTTCCTTTCTTTCCCTCAAAGCTGCAGCACATGTTTCCATTTTCTGTCCGACTGGCACTTTTTGACTTTACTTTTTGTGATCGTTCCACTTGACAGCAACATTCCCATGTGAGTTATTTTAGACCGAGCCCCTTTTGCACAGAGCACCAGCTCTTTAACACTGCCTGAAATTTAGCCATCAGGACACCTCTGAGAGGCCCTTCAACAGTCAGCCCCCACAGCAATCATAAGATAAACTCCCAGCAGGCATAGCCATTCCCAATGATAATGAATGGGAATGTCCAGCATGTGTCTATTCATTTATAAGATGGATTCTAGTGGCTTATAAAAACACAAAAATGTGTAGTATGGCTAAAGTAAAAAAATGTAGCTGCTGCAACTTATCTAGATGTATGGGATCCCCACGGTACAGGGATAAAAGAAATCTTGGCTGCCACGCCCTATCAGACATGTTGTCATGGGCTCAACGATAAAGGCCTTTGGTAAGAGCAGAAATGCCGATGCAGCAATGGGGAATTGGGGGTTGGGGTTAAAAAAAAGAAGGGAAGGGAGGGGGGGTGGGGAAACAAGCCTGTCAGCAGAACAGCCTGTCCAACTAATGCCCTGCACCGGGGCCCAAAATTACGCACGACTCAATGATCCCATTCACGGCTTAGATACCCCCCTCCCTCGCTGACAAGACACACAAAAACCCAAGCTAACCTCTCCGTAGTGCCAGAGTGCCTCGCTATTGTCTGCTTCATCACGTGATAACTCTAACTCAGACAGACACAAATAGTTAGAGAGCGAGATAGGCAGAGGCAGAGAGAGATACATTTAATTTGGAAATGAAATGTGGACTCTGTGACTTCGCAGGCGATAAGAAAATGTTCCACAATCTTAGCTTTTCCATCTGCCTGCCAAATACACTGGCTGCAAGTGAGCAGACAGAAAGTCCCTCTAATGTACTATAAATGTGACAAGACTGAAACCCCTCATGTGAGATCATCCCAATATCACCATCATTCACTTCCGAGAAGTGAGGTCACTGGCAGTTGAGAAATACCTAGCGTAGGTGTTTCATCAGTAGCTACAAATAAATGCAGACCCAGTCAAATACCCCAGTGGCAATTCTCCCCCACACCCAATGCTGGGATATGGTACAACACCCCTGACAAAACACATTATTCACAAATGAATGTGACCAGGTTTTGTACAGTGGCTTGCACTGGTGATGAGACAATGCAAGGCTCCAACTGAATGTGCTGCGTGAGACATCCCTGCCAGCACCACAACTGTTAAGATCCTGTTAAGCCTCGGTGGGGTTTGCACTCCGCTACCACGATTCAAACTTCTGTGACATGAATTTCTAATCCCTTTCTGAACTTCAGATAACACATTAAATTAAATCAGTATCATCTAACAGGGAACAAACTATCTACAAAAATAACCTCCTCAGCGTACTCTATAATTGCCCAATTATTGCACAGACTGCTAAAAGCACAAAATACTAATATTTTCAAAATAAGATGACTGCTTGCTATGTGAAATTGTGCATCAATTTTTTTCTGTTTTCAATGTTTTCCCCCGATGCTATAAATATGAATGCATATTCTACAGCTTTGAGACTGGCAAGTAAACAAATACCATTGTGCAACTTATTACATTGCATTCTTTACAATTATAGTAATTTGCATGCCGATTTATATGTAAATTGTTGTTTTGTTGCTCTCTGAACAAAATCATTATTTTGTCTTTTATTACAAATTCCTAAATTTAAACTAATGATCCAAACCTGTATAACTGTATCAAGAATTATATCAATAAATCTGGGTTATTGTGAAAACATCATCAATCCCTTTCAATAAAAAACAACCATCACTGTAAAATGGAAATCATGGGCGGAGATACAATTTTTCACTACTCGTCTGAACCAAGACATTTCTAAATATCCATTGATTCACAGAGGCTGCGATGCAGAGACTAAGGTATATTTCTGCTTTTAGAAAACAGGGTATTCTTCAGAGAAAGCATGCCTTTTGCTAGACTAAGCCCTTGAAGGCGTTTTACTAATGCACTGCACTTCAAACGTGAAAAGCATTCCATGCATTTATAGCTGCTCCTAAAATATGTAAGGGATTTGCATGTAAAAAACATGCGGTGTTTGTACTCTGTTCAGTGTCTCTAGAAATTAAGAAAACTAAAGAGGAATTGCATCAAAGCATAAACACATTTAACAGGCAGCTGGCTCATTTTCCTGGCTTGATTGCAGTGACCGTTCCCCTACCACTCGGGTTTGTGTGGTTTATGCATATTGTTGGAGCTTCCAGAAGCTGCTGCTTCAA